CATCTTTATTACATCTAATAGGCATTCGTCTAGAAGAACGCCATTGCGTCTGTTTTCAATACCATTGCAATTTATTTCGGTGTGTTACACCCCTTTGAGCACGATTCCAAACTTCAAACGCTTTTCAATTCGTTCTCGTCTATTAGGTTCCAGTATTTCGCATCCTAGCACTTAATGGTGTCGTTTTTTTATTGCTTGTTAATCGTTTCTCTGACTGGTGTGCCTGTGGCTGGTTAAAGAAGACGTCCACACACAACACTTAATCCAAATAACATAAACAGAAACAGCAGAATCAAAATTTAAAAGCATGTGTGCCTAACATGAAAGAGCTAAAAAGCTATTCAATAGGGACTGGGGGAACTGAAATTTTAGTATAGAATGTTGACATGTTGTGATTATTATGAGTTGCCTAAATTTTGGTTTTCCATGAAAATGGTGGCAAAGGTAACTGCCGTTATGGTATTCTTGCCGCTTCGTGGGTTTGTGAGAGAAGGTTTTGAGCTCCCCGAAAATAACACTAACAACGGCGCGCAAAGCACACTGACTGAGGGTGGCCCTTAAATCGTTTTTATCAATTCTGATTAGCTAAAGAGAACTTTTGGGAAATAACTAATTAGCCGGCATGAAAGTCTTTTTCTTAGCCGAGCAAGAGAGCTTAACTTCTCTGAGTAAGAACGGAAAAGGATGCTACGCATGAGGAAATATAAGGGGACGATTCAGTATAAAAATTGTCTCAAGGGGAGGCCATCGATTTCAAATTCTTTCATAATTAGACGGACCCATCCAAAGTAGGAGGCTAACAAAAAAAATGGGTTCAGGATCAAACAAGAATAGAGAATTGGGCTGAAGACCTCGAATTATAATCTTGAAAAATTTTTAACTGAAATTTTCAGATGGAAAACCTTGAGCGTCACGCGTCATAACAAGACAAGTTTGAGAGTACAAAAGAAGGCTTGGAGTAATTACAAGGGGCGGCATCTCATTATCATTGAAAACATAGCAATACTTCATGAGCGAACTGGAGCAGTTCAAAGGATGTGCTGTTCATCTAAAGATATGCAAGAAATTTAAACTAACCAAGATTTTGAAGGGTTGGTAAGGCGAGAAGAGACACAAATGGGTGGATTTGATGTCGTTCCGCTACCATTACGTCAAGAGCTTTTAAAGTGAAAACATGGTAGTTTATCCTGTGTAGGGAGATAATTATCTTAAGCTAGGAAATTGACGCCTCATTAGTCTTTTTATTATATTGTTTGCAGCACCCGAGGGCAAAATGAAGCGAATCCTGTGCTCTGTTTGGATGGGCCGCTCTTTGCATTCGTGATGCCTGCTTTGATCCCGCGCAAGAAAAAAGAAATAATTCCTTCGTGAAAGCACCGTTCGGGAGTTTGTGCGGCTTCCTATCAATTTCAACTGAGATTTGGGACGTTGAATCATCGTCGTTTATTGTAAACCAATCAAATCAACTTATTTTTTCGATTGAAAAACGAGCAAGCGCCATTATAGTTACATCTCTTTCCCAACGCTAGGAAGGAAAAGAGGCATGGCTAATTCTTGATTCTTATTGGAGCGAAATATTTTTGCTCTACATTAAATATGTTATTGGCTACGCTTGTTCAGTCAAGATGGCTTGATATTGCCTCGTTCTATTGTGTGTCTTTGATAACCGATAATTTGTCTCGGTCCATGAAGACACAAAAAAGATTGAACTCGGCCATATCCAGCCACTTAACTTGACTTCACGCTTGGTCAATAGCGCATATGCCTTGTTACTTGCTTCGTTTCGTGTCAAGCGGCACGATTGGTACTAGTACGTTGTAAAATTCAAAAAACCAAAAAACAATAAGGGTGTGCTTTTTTCCTTTAAATTCTTTTATTTATTCGGCGGATAGAAAGATGCGATGTTACGAATGCACTACAAAAAAAAATTTATGAACTGTTATGAGAAATCGAGACTCACACCTTTGGGTTCCTCGCCGCGATGTTTAGAATTCGAAAGGAGGCGAATGTTAACCTCGATTAAGAATTAAAGAAAGGCTGGCAAGATTTCTTCGGAGCCCAATGCTTCGTTATACTGCAGTTCTTAGAGAAAGAAAATGATAGCGAAAAAAATAAGTCGCCTTTGGGGACTACGGTTTTGTTTTAGAATAGTCTGGAGTTAAATGACTAGGAGAGAGATCTTCGCAGTAATGAACGCTACAGTAAGCAGTAGTTAAGAAGATGTCTGAAGAAAAAAATTAAGGCCTGTACGGTAGTTGAACCCATGAACTCTGGGATACCGTTGCTGTGCTCTACAAACTGAGCTTACAAGTCCATTAAAACCTAGTTGTTTACATGGTTCGTTATAAATCCGTGAAGGAATGAAGGAAAAAGAATGGAGTTATACGAGTTATATGAAAAGCTAAACCAGCTGTAAACTTTCCAACACACACGAATATTAGCATGGAAATAAAATTACAGTCAACCGTCTAAGGGTGGGATAATACATTACCATATGGACAACCATATTTTTGCAACTGCTTGTTGCTTGAGGGTCGTTTATTCTCGAGCATACGATCAGAGAATGTCGCACGAGCCAACATGTCTACCAATGTGAACTGAATAAAGAATAAGTCACTGTCAGAGAATGTCGCACATACAATCCTACATCACAAGATGAGCTGAAAAATAATCAATCCGCTCGAGGATTCTACCTTTTTTGCAGTTTGCTTGAGATTATTGGCGGTAACAGAATGTGAATATATTAATATGTTATGCATGAACTGTCGATGATTAATGAAGATGAGAGTGATCTTTGCAGTAATGAACACTACTTAAGCAGTAATGGAAATAAAGTACGAAATAAGACCGGAAAACACTCAGGCCTGAACGGGATTTGAACCCATGACCTCTGCGATACTGGTGCAGTGCTCTACCAACTGAGCTAAAAAGCCAACTGGGAGCTGGTAATTATGTTGGTTCGTGCAAAGAATAAAATGATGACCACAAACACCTCCAAAGATTCTTTAATCTTGATGATTCAGAAATGCAGACTCAAATCTAAGGCCCTTCAACGAGTGAGATTTCCTAGATTTTTCCAAGACTCCTCAGTGTACTTGTGCGAAGTACTTTTCCGAATCAGATCAATCAAAACATAACGCGCTGTTATTACGAAACTAGATGGAAAAAGAAGAGAAACAAATCACGTGCGAGTAACGAATTCTCTTTTCGATAATTCGTAATAAAATATACATATATGAGGGTCTCCGTGGGGTTGACCATAAGCCGTAAAACGGCCAAAAATTCAGCCGTCAGGCGTAAAAGGTAACCGTTACTCTTCATGAAATTTAACCATATAAATTTTTCATTTCATCGGCCAACAAATTTAGCCGTTAGGCGTTAAAATTGACAAATTTTAACCGTTAGTCTTCATAAAATTTAACCATAAAAACATTTCATTTCTTCGCAATCAAAATAAATAAATAGTAAGATGTCAAATGGCCAATGTTTCAGCAGTCCACTCCATCGAGCCCCTCAAATCTGCCTTCCAAATTCAATGACAATGCGAAGAGATGAAGGCGGTCCAGCACCATTTATTATTTCTAACACCCAATCGAACCGCATGGTTGACTTCCCAGAATATAGAAATTGTACCATGTCGCAATAAAGAAGGAAACATCGCTTAAGGCTACAAATTTTGATCCTGGATTCATGAGTACTTCGTTCTCAAGACAAAGTTGAGCGCGCGCGCAATATTATAGTCTTTCCGAGAACTTCTTTGTTGACGCAAGATCCCCTTTTTAATTATTTTATGATCTCCTGGTAGATAGTTTTAAATCAATTTTTGGTTAGTAAAATATTTTGCCACTCATAATTTACTATTTCGCTCGCACGACATTCGATGCGTTCCTATGATTTCTTTGTTCATGCAAATTTTTTGTTTTTCAAATATTCCCACCTAAATTTAGCAACAGTGCGAAGAGATGAAGGCGGTCCAGCACCAATTATCATTCCTAACGCTCCGTCGCACCTCATGGTTGACTTTCTACAATGGAAATTGTACCATGTCCTAATTAAGAGGGAGACATCACCTAAGGCTACAAATATTGATCCTGGATTCATGAGTACTCTGTTTTCAAGATAAAGCTGAACTCATTTGAATGCGCGCGACATTCTAATTGTAGCCATAACTTCTTTGTTGATGTAAGATCTCCTTGTTAATTATGTTATGATCTTCAGGTAGATAGTTTTAAACTTAGTTTTTGGTCACTAGAATATTTTGCTATCCACAATTTACTATTTCACGCGCACGGCATTCTATGCGTTCCTATGATTTCTTTGTTAATGCAAACTTGTTTTTTTCAAATATTCCCACCCACATTCCCCTTTGAAGCCATCCATGGAGGGACCATCAAGTACTTATTATGCTAATAAGTGTCCTTTGAATGCAAGAAAAACGTTCAATAAATGTTTGGCCAAGTTACCATCTCCATAAAACAAACTTTCCTTGTGAGGAATTGAATGTTTTTCTAGTTTACAAAAATAGTCAACGAGATAAGAAAAAATAAGAAATGAGAGATGTTCGGAGAGAAGTGATGTCGTTTACACGTGCGTTCATTCGAATGTGGCAAGTCTTTATTCCTAATAAGAAAAAAGAAAATCATGACGTTGACATTCAAAACCTCAATTATAATGCCTCATCAGACTATCAATAGTTGTAACGTACATTCACACATAAACTTAATTAAAAATACTTACACTTCGTTGAGGTCGTAATTTAAAAAAAACAAAAACAACCACACTGAGAAAAAACTTAATTCGAAACTATCTACCAGCTAGGACATGATAAAATATTTCACAAGGGGATCTTACATTAAAAAAAAGAAAATTCGATGTAACTTATCAAATGTCATGCGCGCTCAACTGTATCTTGAAAACAAAATACCTAAGAATCCACGATCAATATACATAACTCTTTGTGATGTTTCCTTCCTGTGTGGGACATGATATAATTTCCATCATAAGCATGGGATGATTAGGCATTAAAAATGTTAATAAGTATTGTTTGGTTGTTATAAAAACATTAGATACTTGCAGCATTCCCCATATCACTATTGGCTCTCACAAGATCCGGGAATACAAAGTCTCGAATTTTTCTGAAAGTAACTTCACTAAGAGTGCAAGGTATTTCATCAATTCCACATCATCTTGGCAAGTTAAATGCAACTAGTCTACAATTTTAGGGCAGGTTCAATTTAGTTCAGTGACATTTCATCCTTTTCCTGAGCTTTCTTTACGTTGTCATGACATAGTTCCTAGACAGAGTGGGTAATGAACGCAACTTAGGATTAATTCCGTTTAAAGTAACATTTTGTTTTGCTCCGATTTTTTTTAAAAGAAAAGCAGAATATGAAGTGCTTTGTTGCGTTTCTGATGACTCTGGCGGTGGTGAATTCATTTCCCTTGAAAAATGATGAAGACTCTTCGTTGAAAAGGAAGGTAATGGCGGTAATACAAGAACTTAGTGTTTCAAATGGAAGCGTTTAAGATACTTCTTTTATTGGAGTCTCGTAATCGATCTAGGATTTCCTTGGTGTTTATTCCTCGCTCTTTCTTATGGATCCAAACAACAAGCCCTCCATATTTTTTTTTGTTTTTGGTGTGTCTGTTTTTTTGTTTGTTTTTTTTTTTACTTTTTTTATGTGAGTCAAACTCAAACTTACCCACTCGATCGCAAAGAGCTCTGTCATGCTTAATACTCGTTCGGTACTCGATCAAAAGCCTTTGCTACAATCCTTCTTCGGTGTTGATTGCTTTTTACCACATCATTAATTTTATTGATTTTTTTTTTCAGATTTTGCGCCCAACTGCTTATCGCAGAGTGTTAATTGGTAAGTGCAATTTTTAAAGATTTTTTTAATGCTTTTTGCAAAGTGTGTAGATTTTTGATGTTTAACCAATGATAAATTCTCTCACTCTCTTGAATTTTAACTAACAGTTCTCGTTTATTGAATCTATTAATAAAACTGAGATAAACCTACTTTGCAGAAGCACTACACTGATGTGGGTTTGATGAATGCTTCAAAATTTGTGCAAAATGCGCGCAGGCCAGAAGAGCAAACTAATTACCCATATTTTATCTTGTATTACGTCAATGATTTGTTTCCTATTGTTACATTTGCAATGCAGTGCTATTTACTTCAACTCAACCTGATAATTTTCCAAGGAAATTTAAAAAAAAAAGTTAAACTATTGATTCAGATAATGTTAATTACTTTTGCAGCGCCACGTCCGAATGACCCCAACGTTTAAGGTGATTGGCCATGGACCAATGGTGGTAATACTATCGGTGGTTCCCACAACAACGGTAACTCAGGTTGGGGCTATCCTCATAATAATGGTTATTACGGGAAGAGGGATACTGGTAAGTGCATTCATTGATCGATAATTCTAATGGTATCCCTAAGCCGTTATGTTGTTGTTGTTGGTTTTTCCATACACAACCAGGGAGTTTTTTTGCCTCAATATAATGCAGACGTTTTGCCTGTTCCTATAATGTGGTGGGCAGCCTCTGGAGGTTTTGCATGAGATAAACCATTCCGCCACCATCCTTTTTTCCCCTCCTCACCTCTCCTCTCCCCCCTCCTCCCCTCTCCTCTTCCCCCCCTTCCCTTCACTTGCTTTCCATCTAACGATCCACCGAACCACTAGTCTGGTAATAGTCTGAAATGAAGTCGACCTCTTTATGTCAACAGGGGTACTGATAATTTTTTTTAATGGGACATTGATTGATATTTTAACTTGTATTACGTCAGTGATTTTTTTTCCTGTTGTTAGCTTATTCAGTGCAGTGCTATTTGCTTCAACTCAACCCGATAATTTTCCAAGAAAATTAAAAAAAAAAGTTACAACAATTGATTCCGATAATATTCATTACTTTTGCAGCGCCACATCCGAATGACCCCAACGTTTACGGTGATTGACCGTGGACCAATGGTGGTAGTACTATCGGTGGTTCCCACAACAATGGTAACTCAGGTTGGGGCTATCCTCATAATAATGGTTATTACGGAAAAAGGGATATTGGTAAGTGCATTCATTGATTGGTAATTCTAATGGTATCTCTAAGTCGTTATGTTGTTATGTTTTCCGTACACAACCAGGGAATCTTTTTGCATCAATACAATGCAGACTTTTTCCTGCTTCCACAATGTGATGGCCAGCCTCTGGAGTTTTGCATGCGATAAACCATCCCGCCACCATCCCCTCCTTCCCTACCTCCCCTCTCCTCTCCCTCCCCCTCCTTCCCCTCACTTGCTTTCCATCCAACGATCCATAAACCCACTAGTCTGGTGATAGTCTGTAACGAAGTCGACCTTTTTATTTTAACAGGGGCACGGATAATGGGGTATTGATTGATTAATTTTAAATTATCTTTTTTGGTTTCTGTTTTGCCATTTCAGCTCTGTAAAGAGAATTCTACTTTTCATATCAATCTCTTACTTTTGCGAATTCTCTCACATTTCAGTTCCAGCCATGAACGACTTCGGAGAAAGAAAAGGTCAAGGTTCGAATGATATGGAAAAATATGAACGAGACTCGCCCTAACTTGTTCAGCTCCAATACGGAAAAAAATACACTTTTAAACTCGGTTTTGCAACAGTTGTTGATAATTATAACGATTCAGTTATATTCTGTAATTGCAAAGAACTCGAATAAAAGATTAAAACGGAGCGTAGCTCAATGTTTGCGTAGTTATTTAGAGGGAGAGTCTTATCGAGCTTGGTATCGGAAGGAGAGGTCAAAAAAGTTAAATAGAGATTATAGTTTTAAAATAATATTTGAGGGCCAATTTCTCGCTTAATATTATACATGAACGCGCGCTTCTAATTGGCTGAAAACGAATGCATTCTCGTGTTATGCGAGTGCCAAGTTGTAACACGAGTGCAAATTACAAACAGTGCCCGCACGCTTTCAAACTTTCGACTGTGCATGTCTTGACTCTCTATGAAGTTTTTTCATGTGGATTATTAACAAGTAATAACATGATTTCTCTTGCAAGTTGGTGCAATAAGCACTTTTTCAAAGGCAACAAATTTCACTTCCCCTGCGGGCTCGTGCAAAAACATCACAGAGAGTCAAGACAGCGATACCCTCATCAAAAACTTAGCTTGTTAGCTAAGTTCGTAGAGCACTGTACCGGTATCGTAGAGGTCATGAGTTCAAATCCTTTGTAGACCTGAATTTCTTGTTCCTCAGGCCTAATTTACCACTGCTTAAGTAATATTCATTATTGCGAAGAACACTTTCATATTCACCTCTATTTTTATTGCAATTTTCAAGCTTCACCCGTAAATTAATGGTTGCGATGTAGCGTTAACTTAAATAACATTTAAAATTACAAGAGAGCTAATTGATGAGGTCTTGATGTAAGATAAAAACCTGTATTCAATCGTCTTGAATTACCATATAGTTTGATGTCCAAAAATTTAATTCAAAATTGCCTTCAAGGAGGTCGTAAAACAGTTTACAAGGGGATTTCATATCAAGAGACAAGTCGCAGAGAATGAATCGAATGTCGAGCGCTCTCAACTGTTGCATGAAGAAAAAAATACTTGTGAATCCACGATTAACATTTCCAGTTATTGTTTTGTTTCCTTCCTGTGGGACACGATGTAGTTTCCATCATGAAAGGTAAAACTGTGGGATGATCTGGCAGCTTTGAGTGGTTTTGTACCCTCGGACGTTTCGAACACATTCAATTCGTACCCACACTGTCATCTTCGATCATCCAGGTTTTTCGATTATTCGGATTTGCTTCAGAAGAAAAATTGTCTCTGGAGGAGCCCATCGATTTTAAATTCTTCTATAATTGGACGGACCCCTCCAAAGTAGGAGGCTACCAAAAAAAACAAAACAAAAAAAGGCGCAGGATCAAACAAGGATGGAGAATTGGGCTAAAGACCTCGAATTATAATCTTGAAAAATTTTAACTGAACCTTTCAAATGGAAAGCAATGGGCGTCATATGTCATAACATGACAAGTTTAAGGGTGTACAGGAAGGCTTGAAATAAATGCAGGGGGCGGCATCTCATTATCGTTAAAAACATAGCAATACTATATAAATGAACTGGAGCAATCCAGAGGATGTGTTGTTCATCTAACGATGTGCAAAAGAAATTTAATTTAACAAAGATTTCAAAGGGTTGGTAAGGCGAGAAGAGACAAAAATGGGAGGCATTTGATTAAGTGAATGTCATCGTGTTTTCGTTCCAATACCATTAAGTCAAGAGCTTTTAAGTGAAAACATGGTAGTTTATCCTGTGTAAGGAGATAATTATCTTAAGCTAGGAAATCGACGCCTCATTAGTCTTTTTACTGTATTGTTTGCAGCACCCGAGGGCAAAATGAAGCAAATCCTGTACTCTTTTTGGATGGGCTTGCTTTGATCTTGCGTAAGAAGAAAAACATTACTACGTGAACTGAAGCACCGTTCGGGAGTTTTTGCAGGTTCCTGTTGATTTCAACTGAGATTTGGGACGTTGAATCATCGTCGTTGATTGTAAACCAGTCAAATCAACTTATTTTTCAATTTTTCGAATGAAAAACGAGCAAGCGCCATTATTGTTACATCTCTTTCTCAACGCTCGGAAGGAAAAGAGGTATGGCTCGTTCTTGATTCTTATTGGAGCGAAATATTTTTGTTCTATATTAAATGCGTTATTGACTACGCTTGTTCAGTCTAAATGGCTTGATATTAGCCTCGTTCTATTGTGTGTCTTTGATAACCGATAATTTGTCTCAGTCCATGAAGACACAAAAAATATTGAACTCGGCCACATCCAGGCTTGTTCAATAGCGCATGTGTCTTGTTACTTGCTTCTTCTCGTGCCAAGCGGCACGATTGTTACTAGTACGTTGTAAAATTCAAAAACACGTAAAAAAAAAGGGGTTTGCTTATTTCCTTTAAATGTTTTTATTTATTCGGCGGAGAGTAAGATGCGATATTAAGAATGCACTACAAAAAAATAATAGTTTATGAACCGTTATGAGAAATCGAGTTTCACACCTTTGGATTCCTCGCCGCCATTTTTACCGCGGTGCATCCTACATGCTGAAAGGATCAGCGATATTCAAAGCGTCGGGTGAGCAGATAGAATTCGAAAGGAGGCGAATCTTAACCTCGATTAAGAATTAAAGAAAGGCTGGCAAGATCTCTTCGGAGCCCAATGCTTCGTTATGCATTCAGTTCTTGGAGGAAGAAAATAATGGCAAAAATAATAAGTCGCCTCTGGGGACTACGGTTTTGTTTTAGAATAGTCCGGAATTAGATGACTAGGAGGGAGATTTTCGCAGTTATGAACACTAACAGTAAGTAGTTGTACCCATGACCTCTGGGATACCGCGGCTGTGCTCTGCAAACTGAGCTAACAAGTCCATTAAAACCATTAAAACCTAGTTATTGACATGGTTTGTTATAAACCCGAGGAGGGATGAATGAAAAAGAATTGAGTTAAACGGAAATATTTTTGAAAGGCTAAACCAGCTGTAAACCTTCCAACGCGCACGGAAATTAGCATAGAAATAAAATTACAGTCAACCGTATAAGCTTGGGATTACACATTACCATATGAACAACGATATTTTTGCAATTGTTTGTTGCCTAAGGGTTCTTTATTCTCGAGCCGACGATCAGAGAATGTCGCACGATCCAACATGTCTACCTATGCGAACTGAATAAAGAATAAGTTACTGTCAGAGAATGCTGCACACACAATCCTACATAACAAGATGAGCTGAAAATTAATCAATCCGCTCGAGGATTCTACTCTATTTTGCAGTTTGCTTGAGATTAATGGCGGTAACAGAATGTGAATATATGAATATGTTATGTATGTACTTTTGATTAATAAATAAAGAGGAGAGTGATCTTTGCAGCACTGAACACTACTTAAGCAGTAATGGAAATAAAGTCCGAAATAAGACCGGAAAAAACTCAGGCCTCTACGGGATTTGAACCCATGACCTCTGCGATACCGGTGCAGTGCTCCACCAACTGAGCTAACACGCGAACTGGGAGCTGGTAATTATGTTTATTCGTGCAAAGAATGAAATTATATCCACAAACACCTCAAAGATTATTTAACCTTGATGATTCAAAGATACAGACTCAGATCTAAGGCCCCTCAACGAGCGAGATTTCCTAGACTTTTCCTAGACTCTCCTCAATCTACTTGTGCGAAGTACTTTTCCGAATCAGATGCCAATCAAAACATAACGCGCTGTTATTACGAAACTAGACGAAGAAAAAAAACAGGTAACAAATCACATGCGAGTAACGAGTTCTCTTTTCGACAACTTGTAATAAATTGTCCAACAAGTACAAATATGAGGCTCTCCGTGGGGTTCACCATTAGCCGTAAAACAGCTAACATATTTAGCCGTTAGGCGTAAACATTGACAAATTTTAACCGAAAGTCTTCATGAAATTTAACCATAAAAACTTTTCATTTTATCGCAGTCGAAAGAAATAAACAGCTAGCCGTTAAATGGCCTATGGTTCGGCAGTCCACCCATCGAGCCCCTCAAATCTACCTTCTAAATTTAGTAACAATGCGAAGATATGAAGGCGGTCCAGTACCAATTATCATTTCTAACGCCCAATCGCACCTCATGGTTGACTTCCCATAACAGAAATTGTACCACGTCCCAATTAAGAAGGAGACATCACTTAAAGCTACAAATATTGATCCTAGATTCATGAGTACTTTGTTTTCAAGATAGCGTTGAGCGCGCGCGCAATATTATAGTCTTTCCGAGAACTTCTTTGCTGATGCAAGATTCCCTTGATAATTATTTTATGATCTTCTGATAGATAATTTAAATTTAGTTTTTGGTCACCAAAATATTTTGCTCTTCTTGATTTGATGATTTCTTTGCTAATGTAAACTTGTTTTTTTCAAATATTCCCACCCACATTGCCCCTTTGAAGCCATCCATGGGGGGACTATCAAGTACTTATTATACTAATAAGTGTCCTTTGACTGCTAGAAAAACGTTGAATTAATGTTGGGCCAAGTTACCATCTCCATGAAAAAAAACTTTCCTTGTAAGGAATTGAATGTTTTTCTAGAGCATGTACAAAGATAGTTAACGAGATAAGAAAAAAAAGGGAGAGAAGTTTGGAGAGGAGTTATATCATTTCTACGTGCGCTCATTCGAATGTGGCAAGTCGTTATTCCCAATAAGAAAAAAGAAAATCATAGCGTTGACATTCAAAACCTTAATTATAATTCCTCATCAGGCTCTCAATAGTTGTAACGTACACCTACATATAAA